GAGTTATGAAGGTCATTTGTTCGTTTATTACATTCAATAATACCATTATTTAACAACAGTTGGATAGATCTAGTAAGGAAGGAACAGGACAGAGTAGGTTTGAGAATGCTAGCGTGGTGTATAAATGAACTAATGAGTCCTTCGTACTTGTCGAATGCTTGATTTCGAATTCCAAATTCAGTACATTCGTTTGTGCTTATCTATTATTTCTTGATCCAAATGCGTTATTTTTGGGATTCTTAGTTCGTACTATAATCCAAATACTCCTAATCATCAGTTGGGCGTCGCGATGGAGCCTGTGATGGAATGGTTGGACATACATCCAAATTTTGATGCTTTTGAGGATTACTTTGAGAAGTTCGAAATTTTGGCTATGACCAAGGGAGATGATGAAGATGTTAATAATGTAGGACATTTCCTCACACTCATTGGAAAAGAAATATACAAATTATTTAGAACTCTGGCTATTCTGGAAAAGCCTATCTCGCTTCCTTATACAACTCTCAAGGAATTGCTGCTAGATTATGTTAAGTATACAAATTTCGAATGTGGTAAAGGAGGTAGAGTTCGTAAAATGACTCAACATGACATCAAAAATTCTACCACATCACATCATCTCAATCCAGTGCATACTCAAGGTTATGCAGATAACAATTCATTGAGGAGTTGCGATACAGTTCACGAAGATGGGCACAAATTTGATCAATGTTTGTCCTGTGGCAAGTCTCACCTATGTAATTCATGTGAACTTCGTGATTCTAAATGCTTTAAATGTGGTGATATTGGACATAATCAGTCAGTTTGTAATACTACTGTACATCTTGCTGCAACTAATATTAAGTCTTGTAATTCTGATTCTATTAAGTTAAGTTTTCCTAATGATCATTTATCTTTATCAACGATTTCAAAAGACAGTGTAGAGTAATATAGCAGTTCAGAGTTTAATAAAACTCAGAATCCTTGTGAGACAACAGTTTCTAATCAATCAACTTACCAGATTTCTCATGTTATTGTAGCAGATACGGTTTTTCCTAATGATTCAATTATTTCTGACGACATTCCTTGCAAATCAGAGGAAAATATGTTAAATGAACGTAGTTATGATTGAAAAACTGATGTAGTTTTGATGGATGCTGAATTTTCTAATGATCATTTACTCTGCAATTACATTCTTAATAAATTTGAGGAAACTATTTCAGAAGAATCAAATCTTGACGTCATGCCAAATATTATTTGTCCTCATAATGCATTTGTTTCCTGTGGGAATCTTGTTCAATGCGAAGCACGAGTACTAAATGAGCTCGAGTTTGATTACATTTCAGATGATTTCATATCAACTGTTGTTTATTCTTATCACGAAGTCACTCCTAATATTTACTCTGGTCAATGTTAGAAATATGTTTTAAATTAAGCCACATTATTCATAACTTGGGGATATAAAGACCCAACATTATTTCGTGGGGGATGATAGTGTTGAGAAATCTGTGCTTTAAATTCTAGATAGTGGTTTCGGTACGCAACCGACACGGCGATTGTATACAACCCCAGGAACTAAGTGAGTTAATTCTAATACTAATGAGTACATTTTAGATCATAAAGAGACCATACCCAATACTCAGTCGGACAGACACATGATGGACCTAGGGAGATGTGCGAGATGTGCAGAATCTGAATTCCCATTTAGGCTGTCGCGGTCCTGGTATTTGTACCAGCTGATGAGTTCTTCGTACTTACTGCGCGCTTATTACGAACTGAAGATGTAATACTTCCGGTTGTGCTAATATGTTTTTAGCTTCCTTGAAATGAAGTATTTCGCGAATTCTTAGCAAATCAGTCTGAGTAATTCTGATTGTGGAAGTTTTGAAAGAATTTTAGGCACAATGCTTGAGGCTACGGTGTGGAAGTTACTGAGTGTTTTTTTGGCTGGTAGGTGGTTCTACATCAGAACTCTTCCCAGACTGACTGAGTTTCCTGGACCTGTTTATAACTCCTAGCCATTTTATACAGGAAGGATTATTGAATTGGAACTTTTCGTTTTTATTTGTCCGTATTGTTCGCAGGAAAATTATTACAGATAAGGTAATCCTGACAACGAAGTTTTCGGTACGCAGTTTAAAGTTGAGAAACGAAAATTGAGCACTGCTCTACATCAAACTGTCAACATGATTGTTAACTCCTTCATGGAGCAGTTGTTGTCAGGATCGCCGAGCGGTTGCTGGAGGAAAGTTTGTAAGTTACGGGAGGCGAGTTCTAAGGCCGTTATGCGAAGGCAGACAGAAGTAGGGAGGACTAAACCGCTAAAGAATTAGATCGATACAAGAAGTGCCACGTCCGTTAGACAAGGGCACCGTATAATCTCGTCTCAATTTCGATCCGAGGTGCAACATGTGATAAAGGATATGCAAGATAAGGGAATTACTACACCATCACATCCTCCACGGGGATTTCTAATAGTCCTCAGCAGAAAAAATAATAGAACGGTAAGACTATGCTGATTATAAGAAGCTAAATGTGGTCACTCGTAAGGGTTCATTCTTCTTGCCACGCATTAAAGAAACCTTGGAGGCGCTAGCGAACACTTCATGATTTTCAACTTCAGACTAAGCGTTAGGCTGCTGGCAGGCTGCGGCACATTCAAAGGACAAAGTCAAGACGGCACCTATCATTCCAACCAGGCTATGCGCGTTAAGAACAACGCCCCTCAGGATGACCAATAGCCTTGCGACCTTTCAAAGTTCCATGGAGTTAGTCCTAAAGGATCTAGTCTTCAAGGTGTACATGATTTGCCTAGACGATAACAGTGATCTCAGCAACCAGCTTGAATAACATCTTCACCACCTTCAGCTAGTGTTACTGACACGGTGATGATGGGTTGGATGTTCAACCTAGCAAATGCAATATATTGCGTAAAAGAACAACCTTTTTTGTGTCTCATGATCGGGCCTGACAGTATTCGCAGTGATCCGAAAAAAGAGCCTGCCTTAAAGAATTGGTCTGTGCCAGTCCCACTGGATGAAATACATAACTTTCTTGGTTTAGAGGGCTACTACAGGCGCTTCGAAAGAACTATGCCCAAATAGCTAACTGGCAAACGCGTTCAACAGATCAAAATATGCATTTCGAGTGTTTGGAAAGTCGCAACAACAATTTCAGTCCTGAAAAAAACGCAGTATGTTCAGCACTCGTGATAACACTGCCGAACACTATGATAATCGCGGATAAAGTACATCTCAGGTACAGACGCAAGCGGAACAGGAACTGGAGTGATTTGAACCAGATTAGACCCACTGTTAAACAGCATGTTATTGAATATGGAAGTCAAACATTGAATCGGCCTGAAAAGAATTACTGAGTCACACAAAGAGAAATGTTAGCTGTCGTGAGTTCTAACAGAAGTAGAAAACATGCATTCTTGGCAGGCATTTCATATGTTGAACTGACCCTACGGCTCCGAAGTGGCTACATAATTTCAAAGGCCAAGAAGGGCAAACGATTCGTTTGCAACAATACCTGCATAAATTTTATTCTGAGTTTATCCATCAATCTGGGCGCCAAAATATAAATGCAGATTCCTATCACGACCATCACTTGGGCCGCATGGAGACTGACTCTTGTGACACATTCAAGATTAATCCCAGCTCTCTATCAGGGTTTGGTAATACGGAGCGTATACACACACAGGCGACAGATGGTGAATGTTCCTGCTGTATCAAGCTGTCTGAGACAATATGGAGAGGACATTTGAAACGCAAATCAGAGGAAAGTGTTGGGAACTGAAGTCGTCATGGAAACTAGGTTGAGTCTTCCATTGTGATTCATTTTAATGGTTTCAGAATTACCCGCAGTTTAAATAAAAATGAATTAGAAATATCAGGCCTGCTGAACATCCTAAAAACTTATCGTCAGTGGAGTTTTACAACTTCAAAGACTATACGGACTATATTGGATACAAATGTCAGTATTAGTCCTTATCGCTGTTAATTTAAAATATTCATATTGTAAATTACCAACTTAGATGATTTATGTCAAATGATTGGAGGCCTATTCGAATTAAACGGGAATGGTGTGACCAACCAGCTAGCTTCAACGTCACACTTTGTGGTCAGTATCTAGCGTGGAATACCCCTTCGAAGTATCAAAGTACTATAGCTGCTTTGAAGACCGTACAACATAAAGGACGTTATTAGGGAAATATATTGGTAAGCATTAGTCCAGAGAAGATAGCGAGTCCTCCACTGCATGTGAAATTCCATGGCATACGATCAACGTATGCGCGTTGGTTGTCATTGACCCTGACGGGGATCAATGATCTGTTCGATATTCAGTGACCCAACTGCCGGATTATTTGGTTACTACTCAATCATATTTCACTGGCCCTACAATATATAACCTCAAACTTCCGGAGAGTTACTATTGCGAATTTTAGTAATGAAGCCTTATCCTGGATGGTCATACACTCTCTTTTGATTTTTTTTGGTAAAAACCCTTCAATCTACATACTTAGTCCTGAATATTGGCCTTCAGTTTAGCAACTGCGATATGTCCGTCCTGCACTATCTGTTAGGGCTCACTTATTCGTTTTTAAGTATTCACATGTGTTCTTCTTTTACAAAAAATAATCAAGTTGAAACCGCCCTCCATATTTCTCCTAATTCTTGTCTTACAATTACACCACATCTCGAGACTCATATGATATAATTATTAAGTTCACTGGAGCTAGTGCAGCTAAATGATTAGGCGACCAAAACAAAACACTTAAAATTATTTTAGACACCAAGATTCCATGGCAGGGAAATCAAATGGTTTGTACAAGCTCGTCACAAAGATACTTCATGCTGAATAACTTAGTAGTTTTCTATCAGAACACCGTATTTGGTACTGTTAACCTTCACCAGTTATACAGATTACTATCACCTAAATTTCGTAATTAATATATCCCTGACTAGAATAAACATGAAAACCTGTGCAATTATTTATTTTTAGGATTGTTTAGTTACACTAACGGGATTGATTCTGCTTCTGCTCGACTTGTGCACTTTTAAATTTCTGACCGTGTGACTAGACTGACGCAGGATGCCTTCTTTTACAAACGGTGGGAATGCCGAATCGGATACATTTTTGTTCACTTCCGAGTCTGTTGGTGAAGGACATCCAGGTATTTGATCACTTGATATCATATATTTAGGGGTTAGACAAAGTTTGTGATCAGATAAGTGATGCCATACTTGATGAGTTTCTGCGCCAGGATCCTGAGGCTAAAGTAGCATGTGGTATGTCTCTCCAAATTGTTTATTCTTAAATTAGAATCCTTCGTAAAAAGTGGACTTATTCTTGTTGGGGGCGAAATCTCGTCGAACGCTGTAGTTGACATACAGAAAACTGTCCGCGATGTTGTGAAGCATATCGGTTACGATGATACTCACAAGGGTTTAGATTATAAGAATTGCAATGTCTTAACAGTAATTGAGCAACAAAGTGCAGATATCGCAAAGGGTGTACATGAAGGAAGAAAAATTGAAGATATTGGGGCTGGAGACCAAGTAATTTTTTTCGTGTTTGACGAGATGTTTATATGTGTATATTTATTTATCTTGAAGTTTTCTAACGCCCAACTTCGACTGGTAAATTGTCCGACTTACATTTTTGGAATTTTTCACTTAGGAGTGTACACTGAGGTGATAAAAACTCTAAATATAGTTCCTAACCCTAACATGCAGTTGTAAATTTTAATCCTGATTTCTCACTAATTTAAAACCCAGTAGGTAAGTGGACATTATTAAGGGCAATGTAACGTCACGCAAAGGTCGTCCATAAATTGTGATCTCGCAGAAATTTCCATTTACTGATTCTGGCACTTCAGGTGATTAAACGTGTGTCTATACTTTCGAAGAAATAGGCTTTACACAGTTGCTTGGTCGTATGAAGTTTACATCAGTCTCAGCTTTACCCGAGTTACCTTTGCACTACTTTAACATTGTCAATCCTAGAATATTCAAGTTATTACTGATGTTCTCATACTGTGACACTTATCTAAGGAATGTTCAGATATCTAGTTTGTTGTCAATGATAAAATTTAATAAATCTTTGGGCTATCCATATTTGTGATATTCTGGCGATCTTGTAAAGACTTGGATTAATACATGTACTGAGTTAAGATACAATATAAACCAAATCTTTATCTTCCGCATCACTCGTGTCGGTATAAATAAACTCGAAGAGGTTACTTTATGTTTTTTGACAATAAATACCCATCAGATATGAAGTTCTTGTTCAGTAAATCCAAAATTATCCTTAGGCACTTTTGAGTGTTAGTCATTTTATTTACTTGCGGGATGATGATCTTCAGATAAAGACATTCCGCAATCAAATAAGACCGTCGGCTGAGTCAAAATAATGGCCAAAAATATATGTAATTACTTTTTAAGAAAACGAGGTTCTTAGTACCGAGAGTTTGTTGAAATTGTTGAATTCTTATCGTTTACATCACGTTCTGATCATAGACAACCGTTAAAAACCAAGAAGCATCAGCTAGCTGTCCACCTTAATATGAGGCTCGGAAGCGTGTATCTATGACTTAGTGCTTCCTAGTTGTCGGTTGTCTAACTAACAATTTATAATGTGAACTGACAACTTAACGATTTCCACTGTCTTTGCCAGTGGTCATCTCACCAGTGAATAATTCGGGAAGCTCGTGCATGACAGCTCTCCTCTCGAAGTAATGGGAGGTGGTCTTAAAAAATAAGCAGCAGCCGTTAAACTAAAGTCCTTGCGTTCAATCTCTTGATCTGTCTTGATTGCGGACTACTGAGGAGTCTTGTATTACGATGAAGCAGCCATCTAGTGTTTCATGGTTCTCATTGACCACAGAATTGTGATCTTTGCCCAATCATAATTGGGAGCAAAATGTGCAATTGTCGTACATTGTTAGGTCCAACTTGTAATCTACAGACTACTTTCAGCTTACATTTAAACTTATTGTCTTAGATAATCTTCCTAGTAGGATAATAGCCTTAGGGATATATGCTAGCTGCTCAAAATGTAAAATTTATCAGTAGTCAGCAGGCATTCTGATCGTATTTAAATCAGAATTTTATCGTTTTGTTGTGTTCCCCTATCCAATAGCTTCTGTTAAATTAAATTCCAGTCTTTCTATCTTTCGACACTTGTTTTAAGTAGATGATATTTTTATTTATCGTAAGACTTATGTTAGGTATATTACCTCACAAAACAAGGATATTTTTAATACTTCGTACTTGTTCTTCACTTATTCTTATAGGGATTAATGTTTGGTTATGCAACTGACGAAACTGAAGAATGTATGCCCTTAACAGTTACCCTATCACACGCTTTAAATAAACGCATAGCCACATGTAGGCGTAATGGTGTTTTGCCGTGGGCGGGTCCTGATTCAAAGACTCAAGTAAGTTTCTTTGTTATTTTACAAAATCAAAGTTCAGTCTTAACATGGTATTTTATATGCCCCGTATATACTCAGGTTTATCTTCATAATAAAGATTCTCAAACATTTCAGAATATGTTTCCTACTTCACATTGTAAACGGTTAACAACTGTCATAGTCTGAACCATGTTGGTGACTGAAGACTGTGTAGTTGTAGTTTGCGTGACAACTGCGACCATTGGTTGAAGACTGTAGAAAACATGGCTCAAAGTCGTTCATAATACAGCAGATGTATCCACTTTTTATACTCCTTTCTCCGAGATCACTTTATGTGTATCTTTCCTTCCTGACCCTTAAAGCCGTATCAACCCTTAGTCTTCCTATCATATGTACTACATTACAGTGCATTACATCTCTTGTGCCGTACATCATGTTGATTTTATCTTACCGTGCTAACCTGGTATAGTAACTTGAGCAAACGCCCATCTTTGCCAGGCTCTACGTTAATGTCTGACTATCATTAATCTCTTACATAAAGGATATTTGGTTATTTCATAAGACATTTGATTTCTAAGCTATGCTTCTAAATATTTCTACTAGCATAGGTGTGTCGTATTTTCAAATAATTGGTATCTTGTCTGTTTATGTGATAATGTGATGATAATATTAGTAGTTTGAACCTAGTAGAAAATATGGTATTAACGTTTTTACTTTTTATTTTTGTCATTTCATGACAAATATTTCAGTACAAAAGATTACCAACAGTAGACACTGGAGTAGGTGTTCAGCCTGTGCTACAAATCAGATTACCATAATTATAAAAAACGTTCACAGATCTCAGTATTATTGACACAACGTTACCACTAAATATGATCAATTTTCTGGAGACCAGTAATGACCTAACACTCACTAAACATTGTCAACCTATAAAAGACTAAGTTTTACAAGTAGAACATATAACTGGTCTCAGTGATGCGTCGCATACTCGTTTTACAGCCAGACTAACATCAGGATAGTTCTATGAATGGCTAAAAATTGATATAAACTGCTCTTTATTATTATTACATAGAATGGGCTCATATATAATAGCATCAGTTAGCACCCACACAGTTGCAAAGATAAACGAACTTATCTAGTTTCATTGACTCGCGACATTTTTTCATTAAGTTTTTTTACAACACAAATACTGATACAAATGGGTGCCAAAATAAGTATGCGCCACGTAAATAGGGAAATGGAGTTTTAGAGAAATATGGGAAGAAAGGGTGGGGTGTAATCGAAATAAATAAATGGATAAGGTTATTGAAAAAAAAACAGTTTGTGGTTGGAAGGACACTTCAGTCATAAAAATACAGCTAGGAGGAACAATTCCGGTCAAGATATTTCCTCTCACTCCTGTGACGAGTATGAAAAACTACAGCATGGTCCGCATTGGCTCTTGTTTTACACCGATTTTGATAACGTCTCATTCCACCGAGTTGCACTATTCCTAGTACTCCAGTTGGCGTGGTCATGATGAACCGATATACCAGTCGTATACAGCTTTCCATCATGTCATAATCTGACCACCCCTCTGCTTTTTCCATTTCGTCTCAGCGTTGGCAAACAACTGATGACGTGGAAACCTCTGGGATGGCATTCGTAACACATGTCCAAGCCCCAAAATCCGGTGTTTTGTGATGGTGACGCTAATTGAGTTGTGGTCACAACTTCCAAACCTCAGCATTCCTAACATGGTGTTCCAATTAAATGTCAGCAGTCATTCGAAGACGATGATAGTCAGCAAAAGAGTTCCCGAATGTCCTCAACTCGGGAAGGTCAAGTTTCACAAACATAGAGCAAAATAGTACTCGCTGATCCGTTGTGAACCTGGTCTTGTACAGCCAGATTAACGTCACAGTCGCACCAAAGGCGTGAGTGCAGGTAATAAGCTCATGCCAGTCTTGTAGAGTACTTTGCATTTCGAAGGTGTAAATCACGTCCCATAATGTTATTTACATTTGTAGAAAGTTGCTCAAATTATTCGTCGTTCTCAACTTTCAAGGTCGACTATCGAAAGTGGTCACAATCTTCCTGCTTATTCCGCAAGTGATTGAAATACCATACACTGGTAGTAGGCTATTGAATCCAATCACTCAGTTACTCTTCAAGTTAAGGATCGAGTAACGTTTTTTTGTCTAAAAATTCGGCACTATTATAGCAAACAGTGTAAGCAACAAAGATACCCAAACCATGAATCATAATGTACTCACAGTTCAATTCCGTGTAACGGCAGACTTAAAGGGTAAACAGTGAAGAGTTGGAGTAATGTCATTAGATGTAGGAAAGCAAATTAATACATATGGAAATACAGTTAAGAATAAATAGGGCTAGAGCTTTGCCTTTATAGAAAAATATTATGCTCTGTCGTATGCAAGTCATAAAAATGGTTCAATTATGACATCAGCTACTGAATTTTAGTAATATTTTATAATGGGGAGTTATGCAAGAAGTAAATAAAGTTACCTACTGCAAAAGAAATTCGACATTTATGTTCCTCTGTTATAAACAATATTTTAATTGATTTTGTAAACTTATGTTTAATGTCGAGTTATCTAGTATGTGGTTTGGTGCTCAATTTTACCAAGTTCCATGATTAGACCTTTTGGTATAAGATTATTTACAACTTTCTTTTGTACCAACATGTAGCACAGCTCAAAATGTTGGTTGAAAAACACAAATACAATACCGATTCGGGCTTAAAATGGAATCTCCACTTTAATATGCAGTATTTATACTGTTTGAACGGAAAACTGGAAGTTCTGTCTACGACACACGTAAGACACTTGGAAACGTTGGGGATAATCTCAGCCATGATCCTCAACAAATAAACCGAAAACACCATTTCAGTAAATAAGTGACCACTCAGTCTTGTCTACAAATAAATCGAACAAGTATTTCTGATTTAAAGCAGAGAAGAGTACAGATCATATCAAACATGTGTATAATATCTTATTACTCTAATTCTCGGACAACCCAATCAGTGGTTATTCGAAATGAGTCCAGTTTTATCAACTGCTCTACCACTACGGGATTTGAGTCGACAACTGCATCTCTGTGCTAATGTGGTATGGGATCTCGAAGTGATGTACGTATGTACGAAGTTCTACGTTGTTACTGACTGGCTGAACTGTTCTGTTGAACGAGAAAACAATTAAATGAATAATTAAGATAATAGTAGTTCATATTTTCTCTCACTTCATTTTTGTATATTGGTAGGAAAAATGTACAATTTAGACGATTATTATTATTAATTATTATTATAGTCTGACACTTGATTCTTTCGTTTACTTTAGGTGACCGTAGAGTATTTAAATGATCATGGAGCTTGTCGACCTTTACGAGTACATACAGTAGTCATTTCTACACAACATGATGAACATGTAACTTTGGAAAAAGTTCGAGCTGATTTAATGGAATATGTTATTAAAGAAGTAATTCCTACAAATCTCTTAGATGAAAAAACTAAATATCATTTAAATCCAGCTGGAAGATTTGTAATTGGTGGTCCTCAAAGTGATGCTGGTTTAACTGGTAAGTTATTTTTTGAAAAGCTTGGGAGATTTTAAATAATTTTATTTAAATCGGCGTTTTCTCTGGGCTATTTCGTAATAAAAGGTATAACACTTTGAGTAGATAGGACAGTTTAACAATCCAGAACATCACCTCTTCGCAACCGCAATAAATATGCACTTTCACAATACATGATGTTATCTTAATACATGTAATTCAAATGGTGTCTATTAACTTACATATAGTTGTCGAAGCAACTCTGCATAACATATTATTTATTTATTTAAACACATAAACATTGGTACAAGGAGGCACCAAATACATATGCGCCACACAAATCTCATTCGATATGTGTGAGGGCTGTGATACTGCCCGGGTGCCCAAACCGAAGCAGGTGGTTTTCTTAGAAGGCCACTCCCCGAGCCTTCGACCTGAAGGTCCGATCCACAAGGCAGTGGAGCATCGTAAGGAGATGCAGTCCCATGGAAGCCGGTGACCAACGATTGGTTCATACGCCATTTGTTCCCTCAGGATACTGGAGCCCATGTGCACCATTGATTTGGTTTGGGATCCGGTTAAAGCGCCGGACATTCGCTTTTTGTCCTCTCAATTTCGTAAACAACACCCACACCACGAGAAGGCAATGAGTAGGACTTCCCTGGTAGAAGCTGTATACGCGTGGCCATGTGAGAGCATTTTGAGAGAGAGGGCGGACCCACCCCACTCTCGGCCATACCAGGGCATTTGGGACAAATTAACATATAACATATAACCAATTCAGAAAATAATATTGTTATTGTCTCCATTTGAACAACATAAGACTTTCATCATTTTAGTATTATTTTGATCATGAAATATCGTTTAATTACGCTATATACATCCGTTCTTATTATGTGGGTCAGTTATCTAAATAGATACATGCACTCGGTTACGTCATTTTTCTCTTCTGTGTTCTACGACAAACAGTCAATTGTAAATATATCTCAGTCCTATAGGTCAGTCACGACCCAAATAGCTCATTGATTGTGACACGAAATCGAATCCGTCGGCGGAGAGAATCTGTTCTCTCATTCACATTTTTCATCTGGATAGAGGAGTTTCGTTAGTCGTCAGTGTCTCAATGCAGACGTTTGCGGTTGTATCGCATTTCAAGTGTCATGTAATATCCCAGTATACGGATGTACAAACCGTATTATACGAAATCTGTGGAGATGTTATTGTAAATTCTGAACAATATATTTCATATGCATTGTAAAAACATTATTTTAAATCGTAGGAAGTCGAAAACACTCGGTTGAATCAAGAGTTGGACTAAGCCATATTAGTTTTACTTATTTATTTAAACGCATAAACATTCGTACAAGAAGGCACCAGACATGTATGCACCACACAAATCATTCAATCTGTGTGAGGGCTGAGATACTGCTCGGGCGCCCTAACCGAAGCAGGTGGTTTTCTTAAGGGGCCACTCTCTGAGCCTTCAACCTAAAGGTCTAAACCACAAGGGAGTGGAGCGACTTTAAGAGACTCATTTTTATGGTAACCGGTGACCAACAATAAGTTCATACGCCATTTGTTTCGGGATTTTAGAGATATTGTGCACCATTTGTTTGTAATCAGGGTTTTCCAACAGCCCTAGGTGGGTCCTCCATATCCACCAACCGAGTTATAGCAACGGACATTCGCTTTTCGTTCTCTCAATTCCATAAACAACACGTCAGTGGCGAGAAGGCAGTGAGTAGGACTTCCCTGATAGTCACTGTGTACAGGTGGCCATGTGAGAGCGATTCGAGAGGGAGAGCTGACTCCCCCCACCCTCGTCCGTAGCAGGGCGTTTGGGGGCCATGTTAGTAGGTGCAAATATAAACAATCGGATCATCCAAATTATAAATTAACCTAAAATTCATACCACTGATATTGTTACTGATCACGCCCCTCTGATATTTTTCTTGATAGTTTCATCTCATCGTTCTGATAGGATGGGATAACATGAATCGCTGCACGTATACGCTAGATTCTACGCTGCTTATGAAAAAATTGTAACTGATTTAATCATTGAGTTTTGTATTTTGTACTTACATGATAATTCATTATACACGGTCCATAGTTAGACTACAACATATGAAGGTTTTTTCTCATTTTCATCGTTTTTGGTTGACTAATTTTTTCTCAGGCAGAAAAATCATTGTAGACACATACGGAGGCTGGGGTGCACATGGTGGCGGGGCGTTTTCTGGAAAAGATTATTCCAAAGTTGATCGATCCGCAGCTTATGCAGCACGTTGGGTGGCTAAATCCCTTGTAAAATCTGGCCTTTGTCGCCGTGTCCTAGTTCAGGTAACTGAATTGTGTTATCATGGGTACAGCTTACTTTCTGGGATGTTTTAATAAGTATCCTACAACCAATATTGTTGTACTCATTTCAGCTATCACCTTTCCCATTGTAGCTTCGTATTTTCACAAATATGCTTAGTAAATTATCAGTGCAGTGAACTGTTCATCAACTATTCAGACACCAATTTAATTTCTACCCAGCTTAGATAATTCTATTAGATCGCTTTATTTAAATCTGATGCTTGTTCGTTATTTAGGGGTAGGTACTAGGAGTTCTAGGTTTTAAAAATGTCTCAGTGGATCGAATATCAAGTTCTTATTCTTTGTAGTGTTCAGTGTAGACAACTAGTGGTTTGGCCTGCCTATTGTCAAGCATTACTGACTAAAATTCTTGTCTCACGAGGTTCAGTCATGTCAAATACAGAGTAGTATAACCAAGGGCAGTAAATTTTCAGGTCTTAGATCAATGAATGTCACTAGTGTAGTATGATTGTTTGGTTCCATAAGGAGCCGTCCTTTTAATATGAATAGCTATTAGAAACGGCTATTCACCTAGCCTGTCATCAAACTCGTTTCTTTTCCACCGTATTTATTACCAGTGCAAGTGGTTCAGGCTTACGGAATGTAATTATTACAAGAAGGAACTTTAATGTCCGAACCCTGTATTAAGTTAAACTAAAAACATCACTAATCAAACCTCAAGGATTCTTTTATCAGGAATCTCTACAATATCTCTAAAACCGGCATACAAATCCCATCTGTAGTTATTTAAGTGACCTTACTGAACTACTACACAATACCAAAACGGTCCAATTCGTGAAAAATACAGGCCCTCAACGGTGGATTCTTCTAATGTAACAATTGTAGGCTTAAGATCGATACTTATAAAAGACTCCATAGGGAAAGTTAAAGGAGAAAAGTCAGTAAAGTTAGGTATCTTAGATTGAACTATTAAATATCTATAAATATGAAATTCAGCATTGCTTATGGCTAAAATTAACTCACTGAGGATCATAATGAGTAATGGATAACAAAATTTAATGTATTCGTAAAATGCGCTAGATTAAAAGTCCAGCGGTAAAATCTTTATTATGGTAATAATACAAAACACTGAAAACATTTAGTTAAGATCTAATTGTTCATTATATACACCGATAAACTTTACAGAAGAGATGAACATTAAGTGTACAACTCTTAGTGATGTGAGAATGAATTATCCTTAGCAATGTGATATCTATACGTCCGCCATAAATATAAGTATATTGTTGTTATATCCTAATAAGAAGAAATATTGTATTTCTGATATTTCTTGACTTAATTAAGCCACTTCTTCAGAGTAAATAAGTAATCAAACATTAAATTAACGCAAGTTTAAATAGTACAAAAAAAACAATGCAAAATATTTTTAGTACAATCAAAATCATAATAGGTCTGAATATGTCAATGTCTAGTAATTTTGGTCAGGGTGAATTTGTGTGACCCTGTCACTGTATTAGTTTGTGTGTCACATTGTGGGTATTAAAATTGTACGCATTTGTGATATTAAGTAGTGGAGAGTTGAGTTTGTGTGTGTGTGTGTGTGTGTAAAAATATGAAAAAAGTTCAATGTGGTTGTCTGGAAAAACAGTCCAGCTTGGTTGAATATTCAAGTCTTCTTTCCGATTGAGGATAGAGGGAATTAGCATTATGTGAAACGCTTTCCTGAATTATTTTGATATTTTTATTACAATTGGGTGATTATTGAAAATAGCATGTACTGCTGTGTTGTGTGCTACTGATATCGACAGATATAAGCAGTATGTATCATCAATCGAAATTGAAATGCCTGGAGGTAGAAAGTTAACAAGTTCAGAGAAAAGAGAACGAGAACAAAGAAATCTGAGACGACTGATTGATGTTTTGCAAATGAAGTATTTACTGTATGGTTCTCGGATCGAATACGTTCGATTGTCACAATTGATTGATCACTGTGTGGTGATCAATGTCATGTATGTCAAGTCCTAATTAGTGCAGATCGAATGCTATCGACCATGTTGCAATGCGGCCACCAGTCTAGGTGACTCTACACTGCGTGCACTATGTCAAGATTAGTTGTTGGTTGGAAGAGGTCGATAGGAAACCCTGAACCCGGGTGTCGTGCTACTTGGCACTCGTCAGCAAGGTGTACCTGTATTCTTAAAGGATCTGGTACTCCCTGACGATTCGATCGCGTCTCACACAGGTTCATAGTGAGATTATTTTATGACCTAATACCTACATATCTTATAAATTCATCTCATATTTGGCTGAACACTGGATTTGGTAAATTCATTTAATAATTGATCCTGAATTTAGTTATCATTAACCACTACTTTAGTCAGTCAGCTACAACGTACGACCAGGCACATATATACATCGTTCCAAGTTGTCATACCTACACCATTAAGATCGATCCTGAGTCATGGCACTCAGAGTCTGCAACCATTGGTTACGATAGTCACGCGGACCCCAACCAAGTGGTCTGCATCTACCAACATGGCTCAGACCAGAACTTAATGATTCCAATGACTGATGCCATGTTTTGGTTTAGCTGCCCCCTGACTTTATTCCAACCATCTCCAACACTAGTCAGTTAACATTGTGCGTCGTGGTAATCGTTGTTCAGGCATACGCGACACGTGACTCCAGCAGATGTGAACCATATATGCTTTATCAGGAGTAGTATTACATTGATCACTAACTAACTAACTAACTGAATGTATTAAACTTCAATAAACATTCTCAATACAGTTTACTTTAGAACACTACAATGAAGTCACAATTAATGATGAATATGACTACATAATCATATGTAATATTATCAGTTGTTTTTTTCTCCCATTTAATTAAACTCAATTCTTATTGTGTATTTATAAACTTTGTAAGTTCAGAAAAAAATAATTCCATACTACATTCACTTCACGTGATGATGTAATTCTTCAAAGAGATCTTGTTATTATTAGACAATGTTAACTTGAATATTTCAGTAAAATATTCAAGTTGACTAATGTTATTTAGGAGATAATATGGTAAAAGTATAGCTTAGAGATAAGTTTAAAACAATTGGGAAGATGTTTCAACTCGTGAGGAAATTCATATCTCTCTCTCTAAATGCTGTCAAGTGGCCACGATCATACCACCACTGTCAGGGAAGTCTCACTCACTGCCTTCTCGCCCCATTATTGTTGTTTACGAAATTGAGAGGATGAAAGGTGAATGTCCGGGTTGTTAGATACAGAGGATCCACCTAAGGGAGTTGGAAAACCACGATTCTAAACCAATGGTGTACATGGGCTTCAGTACCCTAAGGAAACAAATGGTGTATGAACTAATTATTGGTCCCTGGCTACCATAGGACTGCATCTTCTTACGCTGCTCCACTGCCTTATAGATTAGATCTTTATGTCAAAGGTACGAGGTGTGGCCCCTTAAGCAAACCACCTGCTTCGGTTTGGGCACCCGACCAGTATCACGGCCCTCACGCAAATCGCATATCTATTTGGTGTCTCCTTGTACCAATGTTTGTGTTTAAATAAATAAGTAATAAATAAATCTAAGCCAATCATGAGATGGTTAGTTAATGTGACCAGAAAAACCCAATAATATCGTAGATTATTAACAAATTTCAAATATTTTTCTCAGTTCTTAAATCGATTGATTTTCGGTCACTATTAAAAACCCGAAAGCATCTGACGACTGTTTCGTTCTAGTATGGGACTCAGTGTTTCCGGTTTTTTCATGATGGTCTAGCTTCAATTGACTCATGATCTCAACTATTCAAATTACTATGATATACACAAAAATCCCTTCCGATACTAACTAACAGATGCGCACTAGTGACTAGCTTCAAGAGATATTTCTTGGAGTTCTAGTGAGAAGCAGTGACCAGTGCAGTTGAACCGGGTGTGTTGTGGGATAGTAAGTCACTGAAGACAATGATGATAGACAGTGGCGCAATTTCGTGGATTGGTTGAAGTTAGACGTTAACACCGTTGAATGCCAGCCGGCTCAGTGGTGTGATTAGGCGCTTGTATGCGAGACCGACAGATCCTGGGTTTGAATCTCATGAAGAATGAAAGTAGATGGGCACTACTGAGGTGTCCTACGATAAGACAAAAGGACTGTTCAGTGCTTCCAGATTTTCCATGGTGGTTTAACTTCAATTGACTCATGAATTCAACTATTAAATTTAGTTCGTTATTAGGCATAGAAATGAATTATGTCTAGACCGTTTGACTAATCTGTGTTTTGTTTACCTTGAGAAACCTATTGGACAATAATGAAGATGACATTGATAAAATCAAAAAGAATGTTTCATGAAGTATTTGGTTTTTCTCTGTGTGTGTGTGTGATGTTTCAAGTTGATATTTGTTGACTGTCAAATCAAACAACTTTATTCTAAATGTTTGTGCGTTCTGAGACACACACATGTATGTGAAGTGTATGAAACGCTTAATCTTTTGATCCTGACCTTACACCAGATATGCGATGTACCCTATTAGATTATATCATAACATCTTGCAATCTATACTAATAGACTCCCTGGCGGATTCGATCCCGTGTCACCCAGCTTCACAGTCAAAGACATTACCACTGAGCTATCCGGGTTGCCGTCGACTCACCTAGACTGGTGGCCGCATTGCAACATGGTCGATAGCATTCGATCTGCACTAATTAGGACCTGACATACATGACATTGATCACCACACAGTGATCAATCAATTGTGACAATCGAACGTATTCGATCCGAGAACCATACAGTAAATACTTCATTTGCAAAACATCAATCAGTCGTCTCAGATTTCTTTGTTCTCGTTCTCTTTTCTCTGAACTTGTTAACTTTCTACCTCCAGGCATTTCAATTTCGATTGATGATACATACTGCTTATATCTGTCGATATCAGTAGCACACAACACAGCAGTACATGCTATTTTCAATAATCACCCAATTGTAATAAAAATATCAAAATAATTCAGGAAAGCGTTTCACATAATGCTAATTCCCTCTATCCTCAATCGGAAAGAAGACTTGAATATTCAACCAAGCTGGACTGTTTTTCCAGACAACCACATTGAACTTTTTTCATATTTTTACACACACACACACACAAACTCAACTCTCCACTACTTAATATCACAAATGCGTACAATTTTAATACCCACAATGTGACACACAAACTAATACAGTGACAGGGTCACACAAATTCACCCTGACCAAAATTACTAGACATTGACATATTCAGACCTATTATGATTTTGATTGTACTAAAAATATTTTGCATTGTTTTTTTTGTACTATTTAAACTTGCGTTAATTTAATGTTTGATTACTTATTTACTCTGAAGAAGTGGCTTAATTAAGTCAAGAAATATCAGAAATTCGGAAGCCGCTAAAATGTGTGTAACAACTCACATATCGAATTGAACAGTTTTATAGCACTCAAGCGTTAGCACATACTGGGCTGTTGTCGTTAGCCAGATCTATGCTGTGTAAGGTCAAGCTGCGCTTAGTCTCGGGATACAGTAACGGCAAAAACGACAATAAAAATCTCTGCGGTATGGTAAACTATTATATGGTCCTATTTATAATCACGGTTTCTTCACAAAATATTAAAATCATGCATTAAATACATTATCTTCGTATCTTCCTTGGGTTGTCATTTCCATGCTCCATCGTTTTTTCACTCCTATTTGTATTCCGATTGCTCTCTGTTTCCCACCTCTTGTCTTCATTTCAAACTTCTGTTGGTGAGCACTCCAATTCCTGCTAGTTATGTCTGTCCACATACGTAGTGCACTCCACAGAAGTACCAAATATTCAAGTGACAACCTTAAACAGTAGTTGACTATGAAGCAGATTGTCGTAAACAATCCAGTAAATCGAAGCAAACATTGTGTAACTGATATTGTCGGTTCCCAAGCTTCGTTTAGTAATCTGAAAAGTACATATGTTTGTCGATCCATTCAAATATTTATCATATGTTTTGACCTGGTATTATTGTCGTCTCCACTTTCTTCAGCTCTCGTACGCTATCGGGATTGCAGAACCATTGGCTATTAATGTAAACAGTTATGGAACTGCAAAGATTAGCGATAAGAAATTACTGGATATTATTGTGAATAATTTCGATCTACGTCCTGGAGTAATAGTCAAGTAAGTAGTTTTCCATTCACAATCTCTTATTTTTCCTTGTCCCCAAAATAAAATATATGTTGGCTAATTTCTTCAATTTTATTTTCAATTATAGAGACTTAGATCTCCGAACACCTCGTTATTTACAAACTGCTGTTTATGGCCACTTTGGTCGACCGGAATTCCCATGGGAACAATGTAAAAAGTTAACATTCTAACCTGTGAAAGATCAAGGCATCCGTTTTTTTTGTTGAAAACCGAATCGTGAATATATTTATATATATAATAAATTGGAGACAAAAATTCTGTTTGTTTACTACTTTACGTAATTTTGCATTTGCTAGTCACATCCTTTTCAATCACCTATTACTACTCCCCCACTCCACTCTTCTACTCTCTAAAGTGTTCTCTCATATTTATATATCGCATCATGGAACTGAATCGTTCATTAGTGTATTTAAAATAATCATTGTCATTCCTTGGTTATGTTGTACGATTTTTTTAAAGAAAAAATTAAAATTGTAGAAGTGATTGTTTCGCTGTGGTGATGCTGGTACTGTGGTCGATTTGCTTTCAAGTGTAGTTTATCTTTTCTGAGGAAAAAGGAAATAAGGAGTTACATAATGTATGTGTGTATCTGAAGTGCGAATTCTTTAACGAATGACCAAATTTTCTATTGATATTGATAGTCCGACCGTAGCTGCCACTTTGACATGATGGTCACACTTGCCTGTCGTCGTAATCCCGTAGAGTTACATTATATTTTACTTAAAAAGATCGGCATGTAGTTTTATGTTATCTGAAATACTTGACTTTTTAATGTAACCACGGAAGGAGTGTATCTCAGGAATTCTTAAGTTGTCTATATGATAACAAGTCACTGCATGATGAGGTTTCTTGGAATCATCTTGAAAGTTACTAAGATCCCAGATGTCTGGTTAAACATTATGTGGATATGACTCAAAATTGGACTGTAAGAAGAATAATAACCATTTCGTACTATCTTTACCGTCCAGTTAATCTATTAAACTTCTTTCTTCATTCCCAGTTCTTTATTGTTGGCATAGTCTATCCACTTTGTAATCATGCTCGATCTAATATTTCCCTTGTGGATTGTCAGTTTGATTTTTAATGCTTCTGTTTCACTCCATTTGTGTCTCGCCACCGTTTCTAATCACTTTATTCCCATAAACAAGTTTTCAGTCCGTGTTTATGAATTAGCTCACTCGTATTGCGCATCGTCAAGTGTTAATCCAAATAATTTCACGTACTACTGCCTTCGAGTTATTCAACTCCCAACATTTTCCTCATGAATAACCTTGTTTGCTTCTTAGTCGTGTTAATATCACAAAAAATGCACACGTTTATTGTGTGACATATGCTGCTAGTATTGCTTGTGTATGTGATAGCAGCTTATGTAAGTTTATAGCATTACATTTTCATGTCGAGGGCACATGTCATGTCACCAAATGCCGTAGTACGGCCGAGAGTGGGGAGAGTTAGCTCTCTCCAAATGATCTCTAGTGGCCACGTGCATACAACCACTGATGGGGAAATCCTACTCACTGCCTTCTCGCGTTAGAAGTGTTGTTTACGAAATGCGAATGTCCGGTGCTTTAACTTGGTTGGTGGGTACAGAGGATCCATCAAGGGGAGTTAGAAAACCCTGATTTCAAACCAATGGTGCATATGGGCTCCAGGATCTTGGGGAACAAATGGTGTATGAACCAGTCGTTGGTGACCGGTTACCATGGGACTGCATCTGCTTACCTTGCTTGACTGAGTTGTGGATCAGAGATTTATGTTAAAGGCTCGGGGTATGACCCCCTAAGAAAATCACCTGTCTCGGTTTGGGCTTCCGAGCAGTATTTGGTGTCTACTTATACCAATGTTTGTATTTAAATAAATAAAGAACCTAAACTGGCTAAATGTCTAGGTAAACAAACAACCAATGGTTTGCAAAATTATTCTTAGCTTCATGTTATGTGATTACAATTAGTTTTCCGTTTCCCAATGATTCCGTCATTAATAGCAAGTCATTTAGATTTCAAAATTTCTGGGAGATAATAAGGCATTATTATCTATAAACATTCTGAGTAGTGGCCAGTCTCATGCTTCTCTAGTCTTAAGTGCAAGTCAGGTTCTTAATCTTCGCTTTGCCCGCGTATCTAAATGACTTAGTACTACATGTTTATAACTTCTGTGGATACGTAAGTTGTGCTAACCAAGACAGCCGATGGGTGATAAATAAGTTATTAACAGCAGCAGTCCTATCCTTGTGTTATGACCCTCCAACCTTGAAACATGTGACAAGTTAGAGACATACAAAAAATTAGCTATATATTAAAAATCGTGATCTATGCTACACAAATCAATGTTGGCCGGGTGATTAACGAGATTTTTTTTCGGGCGGTCGGTTTGTTGAGTTCATCACACACTTCGTAGGATTCTCAAATTAGAACGGAATATCTATCCAGTAACACCTCGTTCCCGTTAGTTGTCTTACCAAATACAACTTGCTTTGTCAGTTATCTTCACACTAAATTTAATATACAGTTGATTGATTATTGGACAGTATCATGTTTGTTTAGTTCTTTGATGATAATCAAGTTTCAGTGTGATAACAAATTTGAGTGACTCCGCATTGCGTGCACTATACTGAGGTGCTGGTTCTAGGTAGATGGCAGGAAGCACTGTTCCACGTAGCTTTTGTAATACTTGGCACTCGTTAGCAACATGTAATTCCGGAGTGTAATGCTTCTTGACGGATTCAGTCCTGTCACCCAGATTCACAGTCAAATACGTTACTGAGCTATTTGGATCACAATTTATTACCTGTAGGACGAGTGACAGTAGTTTCACATACTAGGACGAAACAGCTATTCAGTTGTTCCAGGTTGTCAATGGTTTTCTAACCTATATTGGTTCGTGATCTTAATAATCTGTCTTCATTAATACCTAACAACATCGCAGTTAACATAGTCCATAGTTCCTCTTAACTACTGTTGCTATCTACCAAAGAGGACGTAGTTGAAGGATAAATGTAAAAACATGTGGAGTTGGTAGCTATGTTCTTTTGTTGTTCAAAGCATACGCGAGGATAAAACAATGTATTTAAGCATACTATTCAATAGTAGTCAATTATAATTGAAAAAATTACTTCAACTTAAGTTGTCATACCACATCAGCAAAACAAGCATAACAAATGAATTGGAATAATCTCAAAAGCAATAATAGTGAGAAAGGCTACTTATTGAGAAGACGGAGTGATTATTTATGTATGGCATAGTACTAGAACTCGAGATTTAACAAACAATCGTAAATAATGCTTTTCTACTGTACTAAGTTCTGAGCTACCTTATCTAACGACTCTAACTACTGATAGCACGAACCTCACCTAAGAAGTCTTCATTTATTAACATAGCTCAAGCTAACAGGCGATAATTTTATGACCAGATACCTACATATCTTATAAATTCATCTCATATTTGGCTGAACACTGGATTTGGTAAATTCATTTAATAATTGATCCTGAATTTAGTTATCACTAACCACTACTTTAGTCAGTCAGCTACAACGTACGACCAGGCACATATATACATCGTTCCAAGTTGTCATACCTACACCATTAAGATCGATCCTGAGTCATGGCACTCAGAGTCTGCAACCATTGGATACGATAGTCACGCGGATCCCAACCGAGTAGTCTGCATCTACCAACATGGCTCAGACCAGAACTTAATGATTCCAATGACTGATGCCATGTTTTGGTGTAGCCGCCGTTAACTTTCCTCTAACCGTCTTCAACACTAGTCAGTTAGCATTGCGCGTCGTAGTAATGGGTGTTCAGGTGTACGCGACACGTGACCCAACCACCTTAGTCGATGAGGATTCACAACCTCATCAACGATCATTTCGTAATACCCTGCATCTAACCTCATTATTACTTACCCGATGATTCTAGCAGATGTGAACTATATATGCTTTATTAGGAGTAGTATTACATTGATCACTAACTAACTAACTAACTGAATGTATTAAACTTCAATAAACATTCTCAATACAGTTTACTTTAGAACACTACAATGAAGTCACAATTAATGATGAATATAACTACATAATCATATGCAATATTATCAGTTGTTTTTTTCTTCCATTTAATTAAACTCAATTCTTATTGTGTATTTATAAACTTTGTAAGTTCAGAAAAAAATAATTCCATACTACATTCACTTCACGTGATGATGTAATTCTTCAAAGAGATCTTGTTATTATTAGATAATGTTAACTTGAATATTTCAGTAAAATATTCAAGTTGATTAATGTTATTTAGGAGATAATATGGTAAAAGTATAGCTTAGAGATAAGTTTAAAACAATTGGGAAGATGTTTCAACTCGTGAGGAAATTCATATCTCTCTCTCTAAATGCTGTCAAGTGGCCACGATCATACCACCACTGTCAGGGAAGTCTCACTCACTGCCTTCTCGCCACATTATTGTTGTTTACGAAATTGAGAGGACGAAAGGCGAATGTCCGGGTTGTTAGATACAGAGGATCCACCTAAGGGAGTTGGAAAACCACGATTCTAAACCAATGGTGTACATGGGCTTCAGTACCCTAAGGAAACAAATGGCGTATGAATTAATTATTGGTCCCTGGCTACCATGGGACTGCATCTCCTTACGTTGCTCCACTGCCTTATAGATTAGATCTCAATGTCAAAGGTACGAGTTGTGGTCTTCTAAAGAAACCATCTGCTTTGGTCGGGGCACCCATGAATTCAACTAATAAATTTAATTCATTATTAGGCATAGAAATGAAATATGTCTAGATGGTATGAAAACTAGTCTGTGTTTTGTTTACCTTAAGAAACCTATTGGACAATAATGAAGATGACATTGATAAAATCATAAAGGATATTTGGTTTTTCTGGGTGTGTGTGTGGTGTTTCAAACAACTTCATTCCAAATGTTTTTGAGTTTTGACACACACATGTATGTGAAGTGTATGAAATGCTTAATTGTGTGATCTTTACCTTACACCAGATATGCAATGTACCCTATTAGATTATATTATATCATCTTACATTCTATATTAGTTGACTTGTAATTGAATTAAAGTACATTTGGGTTAAGTTTATCACAACTCTAAATAATAAATCTTGGTTATTATTATCCATAGTGGTCTAGATTTAAATAAGTCGTGATCTCAACTAATAAAATTACTATAATATCCACAAAAATCCCTTCAGATACTGACCAGCATATGCTCACTAGTAACTAGCTTTAAGAAGTATTTCCTGGAGTTCTAGTGAGAAGCAGTGACCAATGGTGTCCAACCGGGTCTGTTGTAAGATAGTGTAGCGTGGCGTCGAGTTGTGATTAACTATGAACACCGCTACCAAGAAACACGTGCCAAATAGATCAGAAGGCGTAAGAAGCTCGTTCCAAATGACTCCATAAAATCCCGAGAAGCCGAATACCAGAAGGCAATTAATGGACCAAGTCGAGGTTTATTTGCTGGCGATCT